AGTTCACTCCTCTGCACAGTAGCATGTTATTCTGGAACCACTGCTTCTACTCAACTCTTTTTTTTTTTTTTTTCCCCAGAAAGAAGAGCACATTAGTTGATTATCTCTCTTCCACAGTGCTAGTGCTAAAAATCCCTCGGTCAAGCGGTGCCGAGTGAGGGAACTGGCATGCCTCTAAACTAGGTCTTCATCTCAGTTCCCAGCATTTAAATGAGATCATCATGCTCAGTCTTATTTGCTTCCCAGTCCATCACAGGGGTCTGAAATCACAGTATCAGTTGCATACCACTGCAGTACGCAAGCTGCTTTACAGTCCTGCACACCAGCCTGCACCCTTTGCAGGCTGCTTTCAAATTGTCCATGACAGATCCAGAAGCAACTGCTGGCATTCTGTCTCAGTGGAACTGGAGGATGACCTGTGTGTCCATGTGACCCGAAAAGCACCAGCTGCTGCTCTGGATCCTGCTGCCTCTGGCACCGTGCGAGGGATACTGGCACAGACATAATTAACATCTGGCCTATTAACGTGAGTTATCCTGACTCTAAGCAGCACTAATACCTGAAATCCCTTAGGGGCTGCTCCGGAAAAGAAACAACGTGTAGAATTTATATTCAGGAATTGTCCTGCCAGGAACAGTTCCTTACTTTCCTTCCCAGTGCGCCAGCAAAATCAGCACTAAAGCCGCACAGAAAAACCCTCTCAAGTCAGTGAGTGTAACAGGCAAGTGTCCCCAGCTGCAGAAACATAAGGAAGCTTCTTCCCCTTTACTGTTTAACTATTTTTATTTGTTACATCTCAAAATACTAGATACTGTTTTGAGATACTGTTGAAATGCTACTCAAAACCTGTTTCATAAACATGGAACACTTAAGAGAAGATTACTACAGGGGCAAAAGTGATAAAGTAATTAATAAAAAACCTGTAGCATTGGATCTAAAACTGACCAGATGGCACCAAATAAGAGGCAAGAACACTATGGAGAGTAACTGTGAGTGCCTTTTCCTCCACGTGGAGAACTTGTACTGATAATGAGCAATATCAGAGATCATTTATTAATAAAAAATAATCTTGTATCTCAAGACTTTTCTTTCTCATGATTAACTTTAATGTTTGCTGCTGAAATCCAAAGTGCTGGACGCATGCATCTGCAAGGATATAGTTTGAAACCTAGCAATTCATTGTATAAAGCCACTTCACTCAGGACTGCTATTTTCTCTGCCCACTGTCACAAAGTGCACAGGTTTCTAAGCATCCATCTGCATTTCTTCTCTCCCTGACAGTCACTGCCTTTTAATGTTGTTCTCAGCAGGGGAAGAGTCAAGTTTAAGCTACAGACTTAAATGTTGCTTCCAGTGATGTCATTGTGGCAATATCCACCGTACTATGCGCTTACAAAGGACTGACTGTTGTTTTGAAGAAAAATCATCACTATTCATGTATTTTATTTTAATAAGACAGTAGAAACATGACTATTTTATTTGAATGCTTCTTTACACCATACTTTGAATATTTAAGACCTGTCTTGGCTATGTTAAAACCAGGCAATGTTGAACAACTGATGTATTTCCCCAAAGAAGAGTTCAATTTGCCTAGTTCTTAATCCTGTAATTACCTGTACATATAGCTCAGAATACAGACACTTCCTTTGTAATCACATGGAGAAGGATATGCTGCATCATGGCCTTTGCTATATAGTCTCACTTTCTGGAGGTACTCTCATAATTCACTAACAATAATAATGACCCTCTTTTCTCCTACTTAAAATCTGACTATTGTATCAACAGAGAAGGTTTTGCAATACAGGGTTTCACAGGAAAACATTTTTTTGTTCTAAGTATTATCTCTCTGAAGGTAAAGAAACATTTTATCCACCTGTTCTGTAAACATTGTTTTAGGTTTTAGCCAGGCTTTTTGTTCTTAAAGAAAAAAGAATCAAAGGATGAAATCCTATTGACTGAACTGCCAAACTCAATGACAGAATTCTCACTGGCTTCGGTATAGATCAGGATTTCACAAGGAACAGTTCTGTATGTAGCATTGGCTAGTTCTGGTAGTGTGGAGACTCCCAGGGCACTCACAAAATAAAAAAAAACCAATATAAGCTCATCCATGCAGAACTATCAGAAATTGGTTAGACTGCCACACAACATTTTTAGCTTTCCATTCACACACACACACCTTCTCCAACTGCTCTTCCTGCTAAATAAATAAACTATAAAGAAAAGCCTAGAAAACACCAACTAGTACCCATGTAGATTTTGTGAAGCTTATATATAAAAATAATGTGTATAATAAAATATTTTTTTCTCTCAATCCTCACTCAGGCACAACTGAAGCCAAGGACAGAGGAGAAACTGATGAAACAATTTTTGTTTAGAACCTTGAAAAAAATGTTGTATAAATTTTATATATTGCTGTTAATGCTTTAATAAGGAATGTTCTGAAATAGATGCACTGTACATTTCTGCTGTTCTGGGTTTCACAGGCTGGCTTGCGCTTTACAGAGTTGGCTTTCATTAATACTGAAATAAACCCAAAGCTGGTTGTACTCAGTAGCCTTTGGCCACACTATTCCCTTCCTCCCTTTTATGTGTCAGTTGTAAATTGCTTGACAAACATTCTGTTTCATGCTTCCACACTGCTGGCATGCAATATCTTTAAAGGTTCAAAAGAGGCTAAAAAGTCAACAGGTAGGTAATACAGCAACAGCTCTGTCTCCAGTTAAACTAGCTAAGAGTAACAAGCAGTAAGATTGTATTTTTTCTTCAGAGTGCAGGTGGAGAGGCCATGAATGAAAACAAATTTCTGAACACAGACTCTAGCACAGGATCGGTGGAATCAACCGTCAAGCCGTTACCATTCAAAGATCCAAACTTCATTGTAAGTGTTTTAACAATTTGAAATTTTAAACTCTTCAAATAAAACATTAACTAGGATTCTATTTAGCCATACTGCTAATGTAAATATTAAGAAAGTCAGCTTAAGAGACAAATTAAAGGTCAAGAATATTCAAGGAATTCACCTGAAGTCAATGCCACGCTACGGTGCAAAGTGTGCACTGTATTCTAGCATGAAAATGGCACTGGTCCAGAGGCAGAACTATTATATTAAATTCTGGAACAGAGTCAGAAAGCCTGCTAGATCAAGGTAAGTGCAGAAGTTTTATGGTGTGCATCTCACAAAATACCACAGCTACAGAGGAACAATTAGTACCACTGTGAACATAGGAATCCCTTTTCTCAGTTCCTAGCCAAGGCAGGCTGCACAGCAGTTGAACTAGAAATCAGGCAGAGTCATTAGCAACTGGCATTTTGCTCCTCTCCTGGTCCCTGAAACTCTTAACAGACCTGTGGTGTCTGTTCTTCCAGTAATTGCTAGATTTAGAAGCAAACATGCTGCCCAGAAGGCTGGCCTGATGACATTCAGAAGTCATATAAACTCTGACAGCTGATGAAATACAAGCTGCTAAAACACTCTGAGGTTTAAGTTTGGGGAGAAAGTGAAGGCAGGCTACAGCTGTGATGCTGACACTGCTGGGTTTGGTTTTAATATCTTTTTATCTTGCTGTGCCAGGGCCAACTCATTGGCACACTGTACAAATGCTTTCTAGACAAGAAAACTTTTCAGACTGTTGGTCCTAAGCCAGCACATAGAAGGAGAGATTTTATCCCACATTTCATTCTTTATGAATAAGATACAATATCCCACAGCATAAAACCTGAGTAATCAGGCATCACACAGCTCACTACTAAGCACAGGTTTGGCAGAGAGTATAAAATTAATCTTTGACTTGCAAGTTGCTCTAAGTCTGCTTTGCAGATGACTTCTGTCATGAGAGGGGCATTCAAAGGACTGTATGCTTTGCTCACTGTAATCCTCCAGTGAGCACCAGTGTCTTTGAGAAATGGGGCTTATTTGAAAAGCTCAATTTGTGCCCAGAGGCATTCCATGTAGCTTCCATATAGGACTTAAATAGCTATGAGGCCTTGTGCTGATCCTTCAGTGCTTAGGGGGATGTCAGGGTTTCCAAAGAGAAAAAACGAATGTCTGCATGCTTGAAATTATCATGAGTGTACAGGGCTTTTGGCAACTGCTCCAGAAATAACAGACAGTTACAATAAAAACCTGAAACTGTCCTCCTCAATACGGTAACTAATTTGAGAAGATCTGTATTGAGTTTTAACTAGCTTTTGGTTGGTATAAACTGGTATTAACATTTTGGATGACTTTTTGCATCATTCCAGCCTAATTTTCCCTTAAAGGGAAGAAAATAAATCAAATAATCTCAGCCTCTCATAAATATGCCCAAGTTTGAACCGATAGCTGACTGCAGAGGACAGACTTAAAAGCAGAGAAGAAGGAAGGAATTGCCTTTTTCTGAACTTCCTGAATGGCATATGCATCCATTGGCAATGGGGAAGGGGAAAAAAGGCCTGACAACTGTGTAGAGCAATGAAGAGCTCCACCTATCTTAGCTCCAGCTTTACCTGAATTTCACTAGTGCACAGGTTGCTTGGCTCATTTGTGCTTGGCAGTCATAGCCCTTTGACTGTCGGTAGGTGAGGTGCTACTCGGCCCCATTCCTAGGAGGCATAAGTTCCTATAAACCCAATAGTTGCTTTTAAGAAAACAGATTACTGGGCGGGGGGGGGGGGGGGAGCACACTTCCATTT